CACTTGATGTCCTCCAAGGTCGATTCCAGCCCTGTGATTCCAGGTTCTATACGTTTTTGCCATAATGCGTATTTGATACAATGGCTCAGAGGTGGGTATTCATCAGGTTCTGACCAGTTCTGGAGAACCGGTAGAGGAGATTCTGAGTTGTTCAGAGAACCGGCCGATCCCTCCTCTGACTGGCCCCGCCAACCCCGTCTCTTCTTCTCTGCCTCCCATTGAGTCCCAGCTGATTGGCTGGGGCTCCTTTGGTTGCCCTGCACAGGAGAACAGAGCTGGAAAGCAGGTTAGTGGGGAGGGGAGGGGAGGGGAGGGGAGGGGGATTTTGCAGTACCCTTCCCCGCCATGCCCACCAAGCCACGCCCACAGAACCGGTAGTAAACTGCAATGGTTGTATTGCATTCATACAGATGGGACTGTACCCATCCCAGATTGAAGCTAAGGGACCAGGCTGGGTATTGTGTGTTTAAACTGTGCTGTGCTTGCGGTTGGCCTAGGAGTGTTTAACTTGCCCTCCTCTTTGCCCTTTTCCTTAATCTTTATTTGTACAGCAGGCTTTGGTTCTCAGGAACCGTGATGACAAATTTACCCCGTAAATTAAGGAAACTGGCAGCGTTTCCACCACCAACTAAAGCTATAAAAACAAGGTTAACTCAGAGCAAGATGGGGGAGTCTTCTGGAAGAAGGTTTAAAATATATGTATGTGTGTATATATAAATATATATATATATATATTGCAAGCTGCCCAGAGTTGCTCTGTGGTAAGATGGACAGCCAATAAATGTGATAATTGTATAAATGAACGAATAAATAAAGCAAAGTGAACCCTGAGCATGAAGGCAGCTGAAACCCAACTAGAACCAGATTCAGATTTGCACTGAGAAGGGAGGGGGGGCATTGTCCTTGGGCCAGGGGTCGTCTTCCCCAAACCAACTTCTACTATGCCAGCAGAGTGTAGGAAGGGCAAGTACCTAGTCCTTTCTCTCAAATATTATTTTTTATGAGTCCTAGGAAGTGAGCGAGCTTTTTGGGGGGGACGGGGGACAGCCCCTGCCATAAGGACGTTCCTTTCCCCTTGTATTTTTGCAAGCCTCAGCCCTCCTGGACTTCCAGAAAGCACTCCAGAGCTGGATTTTCACCCAAGCACTGGAAAAAGGGGAGAAGGACGGGAGGAAGGACCACCTGAGGAATCTTCAATTTGTGCCAGGTTTTTAACATTTATTTCCTTTTTTTTTTTCAAGTCATTAGTCTCCTTGATGGAAAATTTAAAACGTTAAAATACAAAATACAATACAGATATTTAAAAAGAAAATGTTGTGTATATTACAATCCATTTTGACAGTACTTACATTTCAATTGTCATTCCAGTGTGTATTTTATACTCCTAATTGTTCATGTATGTATGTATGTATGTGTTGTGACTCCGAGACTTGAACCTGATCAGTCAGCAGATGTGGGTTCGAGCGAGGAAGAAGATCTGGCACTGAGCTTTGAGCCTGCATTATTAAGTGACTTAGAGGGGAGTCAAGTTGAGGGAGAGGAGTTGGATCCGAGATATGAGCCTGATTTATTGGAGGTTTCAGAGTCCACTCTCTCCCCTGAACCTACTTCCCTAATTAAACCTCAGGTGTTAACTGTTAATCAGGAAAGTGTGTCAGAGGTTTCAAGCGGAGATGAAACTGCCGCATGCTGGATGGATGCCAGAACTAGGAGAAAATTGAGACATCAATCTCAATTAGAAAAGAGACATCCAGCAAAGGATTAATGCTGACATGCATTAAAAGCCGAGCATCTTTGGAGTAGGGATGGTGCTTATGTTGTGGATGGATTTCAGCCTTCAAGACAAGGAGTAGCTAATGGTTTTGTGCAGATTTTTATCTCTTTTCTGATTGGAAGAAAGGCAGAAAGGAAAGTTTGCCCTCTTTTCACCCGAAAAGTGACACAGAGACTCTTTGGTGCCATCCAGAACAGGTCCCGA